CCAATGATGTTCTTTAAATAATTATTTATCCATTTAGGGTCATTGTTGTCTGATCTGAGTTTTTTGTATGGTATGTTCTGCCTTTGTGCATTAAGTAACTCACTATTTAAATTGTCGTGGAACTCGGTTGGAACCAAGAAACAATAACTCTTTTCACAAACCTAAAGGAAGAGCTGGAAGAATTATGTAAACCATCACACAACTACAAATGGAACCAGCTAATCACAAACACAGAGGTCGACTATCACAATCCAAAACTATTCTGGAGTAAAATTAAAAACCTAATGGGCACTAACTCCATAGATAACAGCCATCTTACAGATGACAACGGGGTAAAAGCTATAGAATCTGTAGACAAAGAACTGATTTTCAGAAATTTCTGGAGTAACATATATAAAATCACGGAAGAAGAAAACAGAAACTAATGTAGTAACAGAACAGATGGTAACAACACACCTTACACTAAACACAGAGAAATGGCAACCACCAAGAACAATAGACCTCAACATACTAAACAGTGCAGACACATTAGCCACGCCAATCACCACAAAAGACATAACAAACATAATAACCAGTTTTAAAAATAAAGCACCTGACTAAGTCGATAAACAAAATCGTCCTTCAAAACCTACCCACAACACTGATAAAACAACTTACACAGATCTTTAACTCCTCACTAGCAACAGGACACTTCCCCACGAGATTCAAAACAGCCCAAATCAGAATCATACCCAAACCCGAAAAAACCAAACAAGGCCAGAAAATTACAGACCTATATCCCTATTAGAATCACCAGGCAAAATACTAGAAAAAATAGCAACAACAGACTCAGAAACTATCTAGAACAGGAAAACAAATATAACCCCAGACAACATGGATTCCGGAAGAACCAAGGCACAAACACGGCTATTGCACTAATTTACGGAACAATAGCTAACTCCCTCAGCAATAAAAATCAGTGCAATGTCGTTCTCAGAGATGTATCAAAAGCTTTCGATAAAGTGTGACACGAAGGCCTCAAATAGAAAATAATTCAACCTGACATCCCAAAAAACATGACATCCCTTCTCTGCAACTTCTTAGACAACAGACAAGCCAAACTCATTATAGACAACTACACGGGACAAACCTTCAACATACACAGTGGAGTCCCACTGGGCAGCAACATTTCACCCACACTGTACACAATATACACAGCAGACATACCAGACCCAAGACAGTCGGACTACATAGCATACGCTGACGATATCACGCAAATAATACAATATCCAGGGAGATCTAAACAAATGATGGCCATAAGAACAGGAAGAGAAATTGAAGCAATTAACAACTATGAGAGAAAATGGAAAATCCAAACCAACATCCAAAAACTAAAGATTATATACATTGCAAAAATAAATCCATACCCAATCATAATCAACAATCAACAGTTACCATATGAAGAAAGTGGAAAAACACCCAATACATAAGAGAAAGATTGACGAAAGCCAAATTACAACTAACCAAACTCCGTCGCTTTAGAAAACAAAACACCAAAACACAGCTACATCTATACGAATCACTCGTCAGACCACACCTTGAATACCCACCAATTCCACTTAACACAATAACCAAAACAAACAAACTCAAGTTCCAAGCAGTCCGAAATACAGCACTAAGAAGAGCAGCAAAACATAGGCCGCCATACAGTCAAAAAATACGAGACATACACATAGAACATAACATAGACACAATTAACATAAGAACACACAAACAAGCAAGAGCGGTATGGGACAAACTACACCGAACACAGGACCCTATTTTATAGGAACTATTACAGGCAAACAACAATATATCACACAGCTGGTGGCCATGAAGCATCAACATTAACACAATCAGCCCGGAACCATTATACGCGAAAGAATAACACCACTATATGACCGTAAAGATGGGGACTATCCTGCCAGTTCACACAAGGACCTGGTAGGACCCCCCAATCACTAAAGATGAGGAACATCCCTCCAGTAACACAAGGACCTGAAGGGACCCTCCTAGAAACAACCAACAAGAAAGACCAACACCACATGCATAACCTTAAAGATGGGGATTAACCAGCCAGTTACACAAGGACCTGGCGGGACCCCCCAACACACAAAAGATGAGGAACATCCCTTCAGCAACAAAAGGACCTGAAGGGACCCTCCAACAAACCCTAAAACAGCACATTCCCTGGGATCGCACTTTAAACCAGCTTAGCTTAGCTTATCTAACCTCCCTTGCCCTGGAGGACTGCGGGACGTCTGTCACTGGTTAAGCCACAATCCAGCCTCCGCAAGGAGGAAAGCCCACCTGCTATCATTCTCCTCCTGTACTTCTCATTTCTTAACTATACCTTGCCCTAAATCTCCTTGTTCACTCCTGAACAGTTGCTCTCAAATCTGGGGTAGCTCTTCTTCTGTCCAACTGTTAGATAGGGTGGAATCAAAGGCATTTCGTCTTATTAACTCTCCTCCTTTAGTCGACATTCTCTCTTCCCTTTTTCTTCGCCGCAATGTTGCTTCACTCTCTCTCTTTTACAGGTACTTTAAGAACATAAGAACATAAGAAAGTGGGATACTGCAGGAGGCCGACTGGCCCATACAGGGCAGATCCCTTTCACACCCATCCCAGCACTTCCATGTGCCTATCCAACTTCGTCTTGAAGCTCCCTAGCGTCCCCGATCCTACTATAGCACTGGGTAGCCTATTCCACATATCCACAACTCTATTACCAAACCAGTGCTTGCCTATATCCTTTCTGAATCGGAATTTATCTAATTTAAAGCCATTTGTTCTAGTTATTTCGTTATTACTTAGCTTCAGAACATCTTCCATTTTACCCTTGTTAATCCCAGTTACCCACTTGAACACCTCTATCATATCTCCCCTAACTCTACGCCTCTCTAATGAATGCAAGCCTAAGCTTTTCAGTCTTTCTTCATATGGAAGGTTTCTAATATTATGGATCATTTTTGTCATTCTTCTTTGTACTCTCTCCAAAGAATCTATGTCCATTCTATAATAAGGACACCAGAATTGAACGGCATAATCCATGTGTGGCCTCATGGGCAATGTTCGGTGGATTTGGCATCCTGTGTACCGCCGGCAAGGCCGTGGGCTCGTAACACACGTCTTGCCTTCGGTCACGAGAATAACCCGTTGTAGTACCTCCTTCTTTCCTCACACAGCCAAACTATGGAATGCTCTGCCTTCTTCTGTGTTTCCATACTTATACAATCTGTCTCACTTTAAAAATATGGTTTTCCGGCATCTTCGTGGTGTAGATTAACACAGCGTAACCTTTTTCTTCTCTATTTTCAATTTCTTTCTATTCTTTTTTTTTTCGTCCCCCAGGCCCCGTTGTGGGTCGCTTGACCTGTGCCCGGGTGGGCTAATTTCCCGTATAAAAAACAAAAACAAAATGCTGACAAATACGGTACCTGTAGGGGAATACGATTATTCCCAATAAAATGTTTTGGGCAATTTGAATGTTTTATAGTTTACAATTCCTTCTTACTGTATAATAATTGATATTGAATATTTACTAAAGAGCTTAAAGTTAATAAAACTTGTGATGTCAAAAGGCCTGGTACTGATAAAATGTAAATGTTACTTATATAAGGAACAATTATAATGTATAAGTAACATGCTGCTGGACGTATTGAATCTATGAAAATCCATTTCTTCAACACAAAATACAGTATTTTCTCGATTTTACGAATTAATTTGAGTCACTCCTGTTCGTTAAATCAAAATTTCTGCTAAATCGAGCTCTCAGTCAACTAAGTATACACTGGAGGCAACTGAATTTACAGGGATGGAATGTCAGGTCACCCTTTTGTGGGTGAGGGATTAGTGGGTCTCGTGACCTAAAGATGTCATGAATAAACACGAACCTAAAGTATTTTAGGGGAGATCTGACCTGACCTGATTCAATGTCAGGTGGAGGTAGGGTGGGGGAGTAGTGGTCTTATATTACTGACCTTTTGATGGAATGTCGGGTCACACTTTCTTGGCCGGGGAATTAGTGGGTCTCATGACCTGAAGATGTCTTGAATAAATACCAAAGCTAAAGTGTTTTTAGGGAGATTGTGATAAGTATAAGTATAAATGAGCGAAGTTGTATCCCTTCAACATTACGTTACATAACATTTTAAAATATGGAGAGAGAAAGCAGAAAGGTGTGGGTGATTAGAGATATGCGTGTTGTCTTAATTCCCGTGTGTGTGTGTGTGTGTGTGTGTGTGTGTGTGTGTGTGTGTGTGTGTGTGTGTGTGATGTGTGTGTGTGTCAGGAATACACCTCAACATTACATACACACACCCTCCAACATTTATTATTATATATTCTCGTATGGTCAAACCCTTATGGTGTATGTCTTACCATTGATAATATAAAATATTAAATACTTATCTATACCCATTCACTTATCTCTTTCCCTCACTTACTTTTCTCACTTTCTTTCTTTCCCTTTTGCTCCCTCTCTATGCCCCCACGATACAACACTAACTCCCACGGAAGTAAAAAAAAATTACTTTTTTGATGTTTTTGACCTATGATAATAAATTTCTTTTCCTTTTTTACACATTCTGTATGAATGATTGTATGTGCATATAACATAAAAAAATGTATACAGGATCTACCCAAAAATACGAGTTGAAAATAACAATAACACAGCTTGGCCTAGTAGGGGAAAGCTAGGGGGCTGTAGTCTACCAGGGGACAGTCTAACTTAGCGACCTGCTAAGTCCACACACACATACACACACTCTTCTTTTTTATTATTTTATAGCAATATGCCATCACCACAGAGATGTACTGTACAATTTATATCATGTCAACTTAACCTGAGCAGTTCAATAAATATGAAAAACGGACAGTCATCTAGACATATGAACGAATAAACTGACAAGGGCGGTCTAATCTAACAAATGAAAAATAGCTTGATAAGGACATAATTATAACCATATAATCTGACATACCTGTGAGGGGTCCGGCTGTTCTACTGCCAGCCACGGTTCTCGGTGTGGGAAACTGGCTACTTCATCCTCATCAACAGTCACTTTAACAACATCTTCTCCAGTAGCAGAGATGAACACCGTGTGAGAGTTATAGAGGATAGTAACGGCATCAGTACAAACAGTCACTGGTTCTGGGGTGCACTGCTTGTTGCGGGTGATCACCTGTCTCATACATGTTTATCATTAACTTTTATCTGCACTATATAAGAATGATCCTGCCAAGATGAAGTATAAAGACAATAATGTGTAAAAACAGTAATGAAAAGATTAACTTGAGCAGGATAGTCAGTTGGAGAGTCACAAAACTTGTTTATCATCATCATAATAATTTGTTGATTAGAAATATATTTTTCTGAAGTGTCACTAAATAAATACTAATCTTAAATATTATATTAACAGATAAACCAGCACAACTAACTTTATTGTTACTTAAGATACCAAACATTAACAGAAAGATAACCTGACCACACACCTGGAACTTGTGTTGACCTCGAGCATTCATATCTCGCGCAGCAATGTACGAACATTCCCCATTGAAAGTGTAATTATGTCTATCGAAGGTCATGTAGTGAGGATCACCATAACCTTCACACACACAGTTTCGACACTGTTCGGGGACGACACAGCGGTTTCCTTTGCGTACCAACCCCGGAGTACAGAAGCAGCCGGGGATACAAGAGCCATCCTCGTCTGGACAAGCAGTTTCATCGTGTAGGTTTTCACAGCTTTTCTCACATTTGGCGCGGAAACAATCCTGATATATTTCTCCTGTCCCACATTCCTTATCTGCAGATTAAGTAATGTATTTGAATATTACAGAGTGCACCTTACCCTGTAATTAGTAAGTGAGGAGGAGCAGAAATTATATTTTACATAAAAGTCCTGAATGCTATATAATAAAAGTTGTTTCTTTTTTAGAGTATTCTATTTCAGTTATCTTTAAAACAAAGCAAACAATAAATTACTATTTCCATAATTATATCGCCCTAGTTATGGAACCTCCCTTTTAAATATAAGAAGCTATGTTATTCAAAACAATGGATAAATTAAAAAAGTCACCATATTCATAACTTCAACAACATTGTAGGTAGCTACCAAACCGGGAGGTACTACCGCCTGGGAAGATACTGGAAGCATAATGTGTTGTCTAATGGTAGACCCTGCTGCCATATGGCATCACGAAAATTGTGACTAAGTCCCAGGTTGCTGATCTGACTTTCTGCCTCATTTACACACAATTGCAGGGTCTCAATTGTTTCTCTTACTTTGACAACACAACATACATATATTGTTTCTCATTCTTGATCTTTTTTCATTTTTGTATTTCTTTATGGTTTATTATTATTATTATTATTATTATTATTATTATTATTATTATTATTATTTGCAATGAAATTTAAAGAAGTATTCAAAATAAATTTATAAGCCAGCAATAGCTTTGACCTTGCCCTCCTTTCCCGCTATATATAATAAGTGAGTTATGTGAAGAAGAGGTTGTTTTCATTATACACAGTTATCATCTTGTATAAGTATTGTCTTAATCTGTTAAACACTATGAGAAAGTCAAAGCCTTCAGTGAATTAGATACAGAAACCAAAATGAAAGCACAATGGGCTTCATATTCCCCCCTGGATGGGTACGCTACATCATTCCTTGAATAGAAATTTAAAGGTTAATAGAGATGAATACCAATTAGATACAATCAGAAATACAGGCATACCCCGGCTTACAGCAGGGTTCCATTCTGGAAAATTTTCCCTTTTCACAAAATTCCATAATGCAACCGGGGATGCAACCCAAGGAAAAAAATTTCAACCAAAAACGTAATACAAGTGAAAGAAAATAAACGTGTTTAAACATGTACAATGATTCATTCATAATGTCGCATGACAATAAATGCACACACTTAAATTTAACTCACCAGAAATGATGTAGAGTGCTGGGGGAGGTGGTGAGGTGAGGTGGTGTGATCAGAGTTACTGGGAGTTACCTCCTTAAAACATCAAGTTTAATGTCCAATATAATTCATTTATAGAATATTTTATCACCACTGCTTTCACTTGAACTTGGTGGTCTTTTACCACTCATCTTGAATAAGGGTACACAGTAACACATGCAAAATTGAACACAAACTGGGGAAAGAATTTACCAAATTGATAATGTGGTAAAATTTACTGTTCTATATTGCAATTTTTATGTTTGAAATTTGTTTCCAAAATTCCATACGGGTGAATCTTTTGGCTGAGGAGCCACGGTTCAGACACCAGTCTGGTGGCCCTCCTTTGGACATTTTCATTCAATTGACAGTCTCTAACATGTCTCGGGGACCAGGCGGGGTGACAGTACTCCAGACGGGGGAGTACCTTACGCTTGAAGATCATTCCAAGGGACGGACTCTCTAGATATCTGAATGGCCTTCTTATAAGACCTACTAGTCCAGTTGCCTGATTCACCTTCTTCTCACAATGGCCCGAGAACTTCAGTTCATTGTCAAGATACATACCCAAGTCCTTTTTCACATTTGGTCTCTATTATTGCAGTTCTTCGTCTCATTGGGACATGCGATACGCCTCCTTACTGTTTGTACCCCCCAGGTGCATCCTCTTACACTGCGTGATGTTGAATCTTTGAAGCCATTTCTTCGACCATTCTTGAAGCTCACAGAGATTTTTCTGTAGCTCTTCACAGTCTATGTGGTTCTTAATTTCCCTGAATAACTTGGCATCATCTGCAAATACTTGTATGGGGGAGTGTATAGCTTCTGGCATGTCACTTACGAAATAAAAAACAATACACTGCCCTGTGGTACCCTGCTAGTCAAAGCGACACATGGAGATTTCGTGCCATTAATCACCACATACTGTTTGCAATCATGAAGAAAGTATCCAATCCACACTAGAACACTTCCCCAAATCCCGGTTAATTCTCAGCCTTTCTTGGGGTACGCTGTCGAAAGCTCAATGATAGTTCTCTTTAACAATTTAAGAACATTCTGTATTTCCTTTGTTGAATAAACCTGCAATGTTTTAAATAAAAAAATAAATTGTGTAGAAGATTAGAAGACGAGAAGCAATTAATTTTAAAACCAGTGATAAAGAATATTCTGGACACTTACAGCACTTGGCAACAATACGCCAGTCAGAGATAGGAGCCTCAGGGTTTTTCTCGAGGCAGTGGGTGACATAACGTGTAAGTGCCTGGCATCGGCATTCCTCATCATCAGTGTCACTACTTAGACATTCACACATGGTGTCCACACATCCCTTCATGAATGGTGCTGGGTCAACAGTGCTGTGGCACTCAGTGAAGGGTTTGGACCTGTGTGATACAGAATAATAATATCCAGTTATTGGACAACTTCCATATACATACAGTATGTGATATCAGGAACATTTAATCTTATCAGTTTTGACACTCACTAGTTTGACACTCACTAGTTTGACACTCACTAGTTTGACACTCACAAGTTTGACACTCACAAGTTTGACACTCACAAGTTTGACAGTCACAAGTTTGACACTCGCAAGTTTGACACTCACAAGTTTGACACTCACTAGTTTGACAGTCACAAGTTTGACACTCACAAGTTTGACACTCACTAGTTTGACACTCACAAGTTTGACACTCACTAGTTTGACACTCACAAGTTTGACACTCACAAGTTTGACAGTCACAAGTTTGACACTCACTAGCTTGACACTCACTAGTTTGACACTCACTAGTTTGACACTCACAAGTTTGACACTCACTAGTTTGACACTCACAAGTTTGACACTCACTAGTTTGACACTCACTAGTTTGACACTCACTAGTTTGACACTCACTAGTTTGACACTCACAAGTTTGACACTCACAAGTTTGACACTCACTAGCTTGACACTCACAAGTTTGACACTCACAAGTTTGACACTCACTAGTTTGACACTCACTAGTTTGACACTCACAAGTTTGACACTCACAAGTTTGACACTCACAAGTTTGACACTCACTAGTTTGACACTCACAAGTTTGACACTCACAAGTTTGACACTCACTAGTTTGACACTCACTAGTTTGACACTCACAAGTTTGACACTCACAAGTTTGACACTCACTTTGACACTCACAAGTTTGACACTCACAAGTTTGACACTCACAAGTTTGACACTCACTAGTTTGACACTCACAAGTTTGACACTCACAAGTTTGACACTCACAAGTTTGACACTCACTAGTTTGACACTCACAAGTTTGACACTCACTAGTTTGACACTCACAAGTTTGACACTAATTAGTTTGACACCTCTACTAGTTTGACACTCAAGCAAGTTTGACACTACAAGTTTGACACTACTTGAAGTGACACTCAATTAGTTTGACACTCACAAGTTTGACACTCACAGTTTGACACTCACAAGTTTGACACTCACAAGTTTGACCCTCACAAGTTTGACACTCACTAGTTTGACACTCACAAGTTTGACACTCACAAGTTTGACACTCACAAGTTTGACACTCACAAGTTTGACACTCACAAGTTTGACACTCACAAGACACTCACTAGTTTGACACTCACAAGTTTGACACTCACTAGTTTGACACTCACTAGTTTGACACTCACTAGTTTGACACTCACTAGTTTGACACTCACAAGTTTGACACTCACTAGTTTGACACTCACTAGTTTGACACTCACAAGTTTGACACTCACAAGTTTGACACTCACAAGTTTGACACTCACTAGTTTGACACTCACTAGTTTGACACTCACAAGTTTGACACTCACAGTTTGACACTCCTGGTTGACACTCACTGGTTTGACACTCCACAAGTTTTGACACTCTGGGTTTAACACTCACTAGTTTGACACTCCTAAGTTTGACCTCACTAGTTTGACACTCACTAGTTTGATGCTCACAAGTTTGACTTTTCCTAGGATTTGACACTCACTAGTTTGATGCTCCTAGGATTTGACACTCTAGAGTTTGAGGCACTCACTAGTTGACACTCACAAGTTTGACACTCACTAGTTTGACACTCACTAGTTTGACACTCACTAGTTTGACACTCACAAGTTTGACACTCACAAGTTTGACAGTCACAAGTTTGACACTCGCAAGTTTGACACTCACAAGTTTGACACTCACTAGTTTGACAGTCACAAGTTTGACACTCACAAGTTTGACACTCACAAGTTTGACACTCACAAGTTTGACACTCACAAGTTTGACACTCACTAGTTTGACACTCACTAGTTTGACACTCACTAGTTTGACACTCACTAGTTTGACACTCACAAGTTTGACACTCACTAGTTTGACACTCACTAGTTTGACACTCACTAGTTTGAGAATAATATTACAAGAGTCATATGCTGAATGATCTGTTTTAACAGTGACAGAAAGAACAAAGTGTGAATAACTTAAACTGGTAGAGGAAAGAAAAAGTTAAGAGAATGAGGACTGATGGTGAAAAATCCTTCAAATTTATCTTATGACAAAGAAAGTTATATAGATTAACTAGTTTAATTCCTTCACCTGTCAATATATATATATATATATATATATATATATATATATATATATATATATATATATATATATATATATATATATATATATATATATATATATATATTTTAGGGAAAAGAAAATTGTTGGACAGCAATTTTTATGTGCAATTTGTTACACTGAATAAAAATAATTAGCTACAGTATGTTATTTAATTGTTTGTTATGATTAAGAAAATAAGTAAATTACTATCATATTTCCAAACTACCTGTGTTAACCACCACATATAATATATGAGGGAGGGTAGGAGGAGGGCACTTGTTTCAAACATTCACAATTGTTGAAGAACTTTTTTTTTTTACGTGGAATAGCTCACCCGGGTCATTGACCCACAATGGGAATGGGGGAGAATTCAGGGGAAAAAATATATAAACTATGAATAAAAATTTAGAAGAGACAAAGATGTTAAACTACACCACGAAGATGGCAGAAAAGTAATAAAATTGAGAAGAATTACTGGACAGTGAGAGGACTTACTGGACAGTGAGATGACTTACTGGACAGTGAGAGGACTTATTAGACAGTGAGATGACTTACTAGACAGTGAGAGGCCTTACCAGACAGTGAGAGGACTTACTGGACAGTGAGATGACTTACTGGACAGTGAGAGGACTTACTAGACAGTGAGATGACTTACTGGACAGTGAGAGGACTTACTGGACAGTGAGAGGACTTACTGGACAGTGAGAGGACTTACTGGACAGTGAGATGACTTACTAGACACTGAGAGGCCTTACTAGACAGTGAGATGACTTACTAGACAGTGAGAGGAGGGACTAACTTAGACCCAGTGAGGATGATTTGCTGGACGGTGAGATGACTTACTGGACAGTGAAGACTTACTGGACAGTGGGGACTTACGGGCAGTGGGGATGACCACTATGGGTGCTGAGAGGCCTTACTGGGCAGGTGAGATGACACTAGACGGTAGAGGCCTTTGGACGGTGAGAGGACTTACTGGACGGTGAGATGACTTACTGGACAGTGGGGAGGACTGTTGAAACAATGGGATGACTTACTGGACAGTGAGATGACTTACTAGACAGTGAGATGACTTATTAGACAGGGAGAGGACCTTCTGGACAGTGAGATGACTTACTGGACAGTGAGAGGACTTAAAAGACAGTGCGAGGACTTACTGGACAGTGAGAGGACTTACTGGATAGTGAGATGACTTACTGGACAGTGAGAGGACTTACTGGACAGTGAGATGACTTACTGGACAGTGAGAGGACCTTCTGGACAGTGAGATGACTTTCTGGACAGTGAGAGGATCTTCTGGACAGTGAGATGACTTATTGGACAGTGAGATGACTTACTGGACAGTGAGATGCTTTACTGGACAGTGAGATGACTTACTAGACAGTGAGAGGACTTACTGGACAGTGAGATGACTTACTGGACATTGAGAGGACTTTCTGAACAATGAGAGGACTTACTGGACAGTGAGAGGACTTACTGGACAGTGAGAGGACTTACTGGACAGTGAGATGACTTACTGGACAGTGAGATGACTTACTGGACAGTGAGAGGACTTTCTGAACAGTGAGAGGACTTACTGGACAGTGAGAGGACTTACTGGACAGTGAGAGGACTTACTGGACAGTGAGATGACTTACTGGACAGTGAGAGGACTTACTGGACAGTGAGAGGACTTTCTGAACAGTGAGAGGACTTACTGGACAGTGAGAGGACTTGCCTGTGACCCAGTGAGAGGGGACTTACTGGACGGTGGCTTACTGGACGGTGGGAGGACTTGCTGGACAGTGGGATGACTTGCTGGACGGTGGGGTATTACTGGACAGTGAGGAGGACTCCCCAGACAATGGGGAGGACACTGGACAGTGAGAGGACTTACTGGACAGTGAGAGGACTTACTGGACAGTGAGATGACTTACTGGACAGTGAGATGACTTACTGGACAGTGAGAGGACTTTCTGAGCAATGAGAGGACTTACTGGACAGTGAGAGGACTTACTGGACAGTGAGAGGACTTACTGGACAGTGAGATGACTTACTGGACAGTGAGAGGACTTACTGGACAGTGAGATGACTTACTGGACAGTGAGAGGACTTACTGGACAGTGAGATGACTTACTGGACAGTGAGATGACTTACTGGACAGTGAGAGGACTTTCTGAACAATGAGAGGACTTACTGGACAGTGAGAGGACTTACTGGACAGTGGGGATGACTTACTGGACGGTGAGAGGACTACTGGACAATGAGAGGACTTTCTGAACAATGAGAGGACTTACTGGGACGGTGGGAGGGACTTACTGGACAGTGAGATGACATACTGGACAGTGGGAGGACTTGCTGGACGGTGGGGACTGCTGGACAGTGGGATGTTACTGGACCCAGTGAGACTTCCACTGGACCCAGGGGTAGGGGGACTTTCACAGACAATGGGGACTTGCTGGACAGTGAGGAGGGCTACTGGACGGTGAGGAGGGACTTACTGGACGGTGGGATGACTACTGGACGGTGGGAGGACTTGCTGGACGGTGAGGAGGGACTTACTGCACAGTATGAGGACTTTCTGGACAGTGAGAGGACTTACTGGACAGTGAGAGGACTTACTGGACAGTGAGATGACTTACTTGACAGTGAGAGGACTTTGTGGACAGTGAGAGGCATTACTGGACAGTGAGATGACTTACTGGACAGTGAGAGGACTTACTGGACAGTGAGAGGACTTACTGGACAGTATGAGGACTTTCTGGACAGTGAGATGACTTACTGGATAGTGAGATGACATTCTGGATGGTGAGAGGACTTTGTGGACAGTGAGAGGACTTACTGGACAGTGAGATGACTTACTGGACAATGAGAGGACTTACTGGACAGTGTTGCACAGTTCAAAAGCCTTGCTGGTGACCTCTGATGTACACCTGGGTTTGTCCTCACACACGGCATCATCAAGGGCCCACGACTGACCATATTCCTTGATGGTGGTGGCCAACTTGCCATCAGGTTTCGATTTATCATCTTTTGGTTCTCCCGTGTAAAAGCCACATAGGCCATCAACTTTATTTACTAGGTGGTCTCCAAGCTACGGAATGGAAGAATATTTGTTTATTTATATTACGAGTATTATTAATATAATCATCCTAAATCTGTAACATTATATATACAATATATATATATATATATATATATATATATATATATATATATATATATATATATATATATATATATATATATATATATATATATATATATATATATATATATAGTACATGCACAGAACCAGGGGACGGCAGGACATCCCCCACCCACTCAATCTCCCAACCAGGAGGAGGCGAGCGCCCTGTAAACAATGTCATCTCTGACCACAGCCCCACAAAATACAATGTATATAGTAAACAAGGGAGTTGCTGAGAATAGAGGGAGGCCCGAGTCACTACCAAGAGCTGAGACGTTACCGAGAACAAATTCAAGCTTGAAAGTCATGTACTGTACACTTGTACAGTAATACTGACATCTTCCTTGATAAGAGAGCGGAGTTTGAAACAAAACTGAAGGTACATAAACTCAATACAGTAGGTGTTGTAGAACTGTTATACAAGAACAGGAGAATCAACCCTGAGGAATGTGAGTTCAATATAGATGGATATGACTCATTTACGAACCTTTCTCCAGTAACTTGCAAGAGTGGTGTGGTTATCTATGCTAGGCAAGACTTAGAGCCAGCCAGGTGAGGGTGCGGGGAGAGGAAGTTTTTGAAGAATCAAAGTGGTGTAAAATTAAACTGAAGGGGAGAGACTTATTCACTGTCAGATGTATATGAGTCCAAGCCAAATGACCTAAATAATTCAGCCACTCTTTTTGTAGAAAATCTGAGAGATAATTTTCGGTTCCAATATGTTAAAAATCTGACTCCTTACAGAAGGGAGAAAACACCCAAGCCACTGGACCTCATCATAACAAACGAGGAGGGTATGGTGGCCAAGCAGGAGCACCTAGCCCTCATTGGCACCAGTCGCCACGTAACATTGTCTTTCAGATTTAACTGTTACTTGGTTCAAGACAAAACCAGGTCCAAGTTCAAATATTACAAGGGTAATTTCGATGGTATGAGGGAGGAGATGAGGGGTATCCACTGGCCTGACTCACTAAGGTTAAGAACGCAGACACTACGCTGAATATCATAACCAATAAAGTGAACCATTTGATCGATAAATAAATACTCAAGACCAAACCCAGTGCCTCCAGGAACGCAAGGAGACTGTTGCACATGAACCATGCGGCGGTTGACTGAAGACAAATGATGAGCAGGACAGGAGGATGTATGCCAGATCCAGGAACCAAGCAAAGTCAGAGTGTAGAAGGGCTGAAAAAGAGTTCCAGAGGCAGATTGTGAGAGAGGTCAAGTCAAAACCAAAAGCTTTTTATCGCTATGCAAGGTCGAAATTAAAAACGCGAGTAGGCGCATCAGACCTGAGACCTGAGACAAGGATAAGGCGGAAACATTGAACAGTTTCTTTTCCTCGGTGTTCACAAGAGAGGATGCGAACAGTCTTCTTCCATTTGAGGACAGACGGTTTGACACAGCGCTGACTCACATTGTCTCCTAACCCATGTCTCTAAATCCTGAATTTTCTTCTTAACTTTGTCGACCGCCACACGGTTCATGTGTAACAGTCTTCTTGTATTCCTGGACGCACTGGGTTTGGTCTAGGATATATTTTTATCAATCGAATGGTAAACTTTACTAGAGTAGTATCTTCGTACTTTTTTCTTAGTAAGTCAGGCCAGTGTATACTCCTCATCCCATCGAAATTTCCTTTGTAATATTTGAACCTGTACCTGTTTTGTCATCAACCAAGTAACAGTTAAATCTGAAGGACAACGTTACGTGGTGACTGGTGCCAGTGAGGGCTAGGTGTTCCAGATTGGCCACCATACCCTCCTCGTTAGCTGAGATGAGGTCCAACAGTTTGATTGTTTGCTCCCTCCTGTAGTGAGAGGGATCTTTAACTTGATGGAATAGAAAATTGTCTCTCAGTGTTTCTACGAAAAGAGTGGAGAGATTATTTATGTCATTTGGCGTCGATTCGTTTCTCCAATCGTTATCGCCATGGTTAAAGTCTCCCATGACAAGGAGGTGTCTCGGATTTAGCACCATAATGTTCTCAATTAAGGCTCTTAAGTTCCTTTGGTTTAATACACTACAGTTTGGGGATCTATAGATACATCCCACAATAAGTAAGTCTCTCCCCTTCAGTTTAATTTTACATTACTTTGATTCTTCGAAAACATCCTCTCCCTGCACCCTCACCTGGTTGACTCTAAGGTCTTGCCTAGCATAGATAACCACACCCATCTTAAAAGTTGCTTGAAAAAGGTTTGTAAACGAGACATATCCATCTATATTGAACTCACATTTCTCCGGGTCAATTATCCTGTTCTTGTACAACATTTCTACAACACCTACTATATTGGGTACAACTCGTGATGCCTCGGGAGGGTTGGTATGTGTGTCTTCACCCACCGCCATTCAGTATCCAACACAGAGAGTGAGTTGACATATAGGAATAAAATAAATGGTTAAATGATTACAATAACATAGTATAAGGAGACAACACATATCCCAATACCTATCGTCTATGGTCTCCTTTTGTTTCACACAGAGTATACACAGATTTTTTTTAGCTACTGTACCTTCAGTAGTGTTACAAACTTTGCTCTCTTGTCGAGGAACGTATTAGTGTCCATGACTTTCAGGCCGGTAATGTCTCTGGTCTTGGTATTGACTCTGGCCCTCCTACATTCTTTGCAGCTGCCTCGTTTACTGTATTCCTTGTGCTTTGTGGGGTGTGGCTAGAGATGACATTGTTTACATGGTGCTCGCCTGTTCCTCATCAACTCTTCCCTCCCTCTGCTTCAAGGACTGCAGGAGTTTTTTGTGCTGTTCCCTCTTCAGTACTGTGCAATCTGGGTATATGAATATACCCTAAAATGCATCGCTCTTTTCTTATTTTTTTGCCTACCGAATAACTTCCCATTTCTTATCCTTACTCACTAGTGTGATCCTGAGGGGGCGGGGCTTGTTCCCCTGCCTTTATCCTAGCCTCCTTACGTCCTGAGTGGGAGCTGATAATTTCAGAGCCTCATTATAAATATCCTGAAACTTCAACTTATTGCGCAATTTCCTAGTTTAAGCTTCCTCTGACTGGCTTTCATGGACTCCAAACACTATATGTTGTTCCTGCGCTCAAAATGTTCTTGTTTCTCCTCCTCTCCCATATCAGTGGGTCTACTAGTTGTCAACTCTTCAACATACTTCTGCAGAGTCCATAGCCACCGGAGGACCTATTCAGATCCTGCATTAATCTCTGTCACTCTAGGTCTATGTTTTGACAACACTGCCACATATCATAGAACCTTGTGTCAAATACCTTATGATGCAAGCATGCAGTATGTCATAAAGGCGACGTGTCCTGTACCCTAAAGAAGCCGCTGAGCTCACTCTTTTGTACAAGCCTGACTCAGTGTGTGTGTGTGTGTGTGTGTGTGTGTGTGTGTGTGAAACACTTGCACCACTGGATCAGGAAAAGGGAGAGCCAAGATGTGTGGTTGCAGCCTGCGCTCCTGCCTCACCACATAAATCAACTCACACACAGCCATTATCCAGCTCATCATACTTCTCATCATCATAAAAACCCCTATACCAACAAAAGTCCTATGGCGACGGACGAGTGGCAACGGAGACAGGCAGAGATGATGCTGGGAGTCTCTAGTCTCAACTCTGCACAAGGGATTTAGGCAGCAATGCAATCCGGTTCTGTCTGTGCGACTGAGCAGCTCTTTCGAGGAGCCACTCTGCTCACCTTACATGAGGAGAGGGCTAGAAAAGGTTCCCTAAAAATAGCCTGCCTAAATAACCAACCTGACTGGGCTACCGCACCCAGTAAAGTCATTCTTATGCAGTCGAAAACACAATCATAATCACAGATCCAAACAAAAACAAACTATACAACCTCCTTTGGTCGCTGCATGGAATGTCAGGACCCTTCAGGATACTGGCACAAATGAGCGTCCTGAAAGAAGAACTGCCCTTCTGGCAAAAGTGCTGTCTAGGTAAAACATCGACATAGCAGCCATTAGAGAGTCCATGCTCCCAGACGAGGGCCTAGCTATACCTTCTTCTGGGAGGGTAATCCCGCTGCTGAGAGAAACCGCATTTATGGAGTTGGTTTGCCATCCGCCAATGTATCCTATGTAGGCTAACTAAAATGCCTATTGGGCTCAACGAGCACCTCATGACGCTCAGAGTCCCACTGAATCACTCATGTCATGCCTTCTTCATCAGTGAATACGCCCCAACACTGGATGCAGAGGATGACATCAAGGAGGCCTTTTACACCGACCTTGACAGAGTGTTAACCTCTATCCCCAGAGAAGATAAGGTTGTGCTCCTAGGTGACTTCAATGCCAGAGTTGGCAAAGATGCTGATGCTGACAGAGGCAAGAAATCACAGGGAGAAATGGACTAGGCAAGTGTAATCCCAACAGCCTACTCGTCCTCAGCAAGTGAGCTGTACACAACATCACTATCACCAATACCTTGTTTAGGCAGGGCGACAAGTTCAATGGTTCGTGGCAACACCCACGATCCAAACACTGGCATCTCATTGACTACATCATTGTCAGAGAAAGAGATCGTCGAGATGTCCTCATCACCCGTGCCATGCGAGGCTCAGACCACTGTGACACTGATCATCAGCTTATCAGAGCCAAAGTCTCCCTTCACGTAGCCCCATAACAACGAAGGCAACAAGCCTCCAAAAGAGGCTTTAACACTAAGCATCTGGAGGACCCGACAACAAACAACCCAAATACCTGTGGCGAATGGGGCATTCTCGACACTGTCATGACAAAAACCTCCAGAGACCCTCAGCCAGATCGAAAGAATACACCAAGACTGGTTTGATTAAATGACCCAGAAATCAATGTACTCGTCGATGATAAAACTGCTGCTTTAACTGACTGGCAGAACAACCCTCTATCTTGGATCAAAGCTGATACCTTTTCACAAAAGAAAGT